CCTTTCTTTACTCACCTATGTCTCCTCTTATCTCTCTGATGTTTAGAATTTATTTCCAAGATCACCCTGAGATTTTCCTCTAATGTTTAGAGCATTTATCTCTCCCCAGATCTTTCCCCCAGACCTGCTTGTCAAGACTCATGAGTGCTCAGAAGAACCAAGGACCTTCCATGTACCAGTTTTTATTTATTAATTCAAGAAATTCAACAATTAGTTTCTGAAAAGCTATCGTTTTCCAGAAACTGATTCATGCTTGGTATATAGTTGTGGACAAAGCAGATAAAATTCTTATTTCAAAGGGTATGTGTCCAAACATAAGATAGGGTTACTTCTTCTAAATAGGATGGAGAAGATCATGGCAGCCCAGCACTAAAAATGAAAAACACTAGAAGATGATGGATGAATTATATTTATCAGACAGCTGTAGAAACAATGAGGACTGTGTTCTTTTCTCTTTTTTATTTCAAAATATTAAGGGGTACAAATGTTTTTGTTACATGGATGAATTGTATTATATAATGATGAAGTTGGGGCTTTTAGTGTACTTATCACTAAAGTAGGGTACATTGTACCCAATAGGTACATTTTTATCCCTTACTCCCTGACACCCTCCCCCTTCTTAGTTTTTCCAGTATTCTTTACACTGCTATATTCTTCCAGTATTCTTTACACTATATAATTCTTCCAGTATTTTTTACACTGCTATATTACCATGTATACCCATAATTTAGCTCCCACTTATTAGTGACAACATGTGGTGTTTTTTTCAATTCCTGAGATACTACACTTAGGATAGTCATCTCCAGTTCCATCCAAGTTGCTGCAAAAGACAGTCTTTCATTCCTTTTTATGCCTGAGTAGTACTCCATGGTATATACATACCACATTTTGTTAATCCAGTCATGAATTGATGGGCGCTTAGATTGATGCCATATCTTCGCAATTGTGAATTGTGCTGTGATAAACATTTAGGTGCAGTTGTCTTTTTGATACAATCAGGGAGCCAGGGCTCTCCTCCTGCCTGGGACCTACTGAGGCAGTCACTGCCAGGCTTCTCCCATGGCACCTGTGGTGCCTGTTCTCCTTGCCTCCTCCCTGAGGGAGAGGGGTGCTTGGCTCCCAGTCACAGGCATGCAAGAACATTTTCTCTTCCTGCTCCCTCCCCAGCCTGGCTGGGGCAGTGCAGAGGTGGCTGCAGCAAAGCCAAGCCCTGTGCAGACCAGATACTCTGTACCTGAGAGCTCATAATGGTGTCAGCTGCAGTAGTCACTGGGTTCCTGCTGTGCCCACTCTCTGCTGCAATGTCACAAGCATCTCTCTGATAAGTTCAAAGGTCTGCATCAGTGTTGGGGTTCCCCTCATAGCTTGGGCCACAGTGTCTGTATGGGGAGCATTTAGTCCTGAGTTTTTCTCCTCCTTTCCTTCCCCACATGTGGATGCTTCCCCAAGTACTTTCCAATTTTGCCAAGTGGATCACCCTGTCACCTTCTCCTTCACTCTGATTTTCCCCCATTACTTCTCCAGTGTGTCACAGTGCTCTCTCCAAGAAGGCCCATCCATAGCTGGACCTATAACTTCTCCCTTGAGAGTAGCACACATGGGAAGCTACCATCTTGTCTCACTCTCCCAGACTGTGTTTTTATCAGTTCCATAAGCATGTTGCCTTTTGGTTAGTAGTTTAAAAAATAAATGACTTCAGAGTATCTTCTTTGGCTATCTTATATAAAGGAGCATTCTTGATTGATGTTTCATACAGTGTCTAATCATTTATATTATATGCTTTTGTTTTGTGTTGGTTTCTTCTACTAGCATTTTTCTTTCATGACAGTAGGAGCCATGTCTCTCTTGTTTGTAATGTATTCACTGTACCTTACACAGTGTGTGTATACCAAATAGTGGGCACTCAGCAATTATTTTTTGAATGAATGAATTGATTAGTTGTGCTCATTAGCTGATTATGAGATAGAGAGAGATATCTAAGGTAAGTCCCAAGTTTCTAGCTTGTACATCTAGGTAATGAATGGTGCAACTCATGGAGATAAAGAATATGCAAGAGCAATACATTTTTAGGTGTGATAATGAGTGAAATTTGAAGTGCCTGTAGGACAACCAAGTACAGTGGGTTTCCAGAAGATAATTCTGCAATGTAGAGAAAGATGTTGACTGGAGCATTCTTGTGGCATTATCACCTTCAAGACAGTAATTGGGACAAAGGGGGATTAGATAAGATTGTTCAGGGGGACTTTGTAGACCTACTTTGCAAGTTCACCCATATATTGCTTCTAAGTATTATTTATTTTTTACTTTATAGTTTGATTTCCCACCCTCTTAAGATTAATGATCTTTTTTCTTCTCTAGATAATTAATATGAGTGCTTGTCCTTTATAAGTAATAGAAATGAAGTTAGTATTTTTTCTTTTTACAGGAATTTATATCATATAATACTACCATAAGAGCAATAAAAGATTTATCTTTGAATTTATATGAGGGACAAATCACTGTTCTTTTGGGACCTAATGGAGCAGGAAAGACAACAGCGTTATCCATTCTCACAGGTATGTATTCAGGGTCACTGTGAATGGAGACACTGTTGACTAAGCTATAAGGCTTCTGTGTACACTCTTTTAAATTTTTTTAATTGACACATGTAATTATACATATTTATGGGGTACAATGTGATGTTTTGATACATGTATACATTATATAATTATCAAATCAGGGTAATTAACATATCCATCACCTACAACATTTATCATTTCTTTGTGGTGGGAACATACAAAATCCTCTCTTCAGCTATCTTGTCATACAATACCTTTTGTTGAATGTAGTCACCCTACTGCTATCTACTGATCTAAATAGCTGCTGATAATCTAATGGATATTTTCTTACATATAACTTGACACTTTTCTTTTCTGCTTTTAAAACTCTTTATTTTTGATTTTTTACAGTTTGATTATAATGTGTCTCAGAAAAGACCTTTTTAGATTGAATCTATTTGGGAGCTCATGAGCCTCCTGAATCTGGATGTACATATTTCTCCCAAGACTTGGGAAGTTTTCAGCTATTATTTCATTAAATATGTTTTGTGTGCTTTCCCCATCTTTTTCTTTCACACACTTCTGGAATACAAAAATTTATTCACTAAATATTGTCCCATGAGGCCTGCAGGGCTTCTTCATTTCATTCTTTTTTAGTCTTATTTCTTTTTTATCCTCTGGCTGGGTTATTGGAAAATACTTACCTTAAAGTTTAGAAATTCTCTCTTCCAGTTGATCTAGTTTGTTGTTGAAGTTCTCAATTGTATTTTTTATTTCATTCATTGAATTTTTCAATTCTAAGATTTCTTTTTTGTTCTTTTTTATGATGTCTATCTCTTTATTGAATTTATCATTCAGATCATGAATTATTTTGATGATTTTGTTAAATAGTTTGTATTCTCCAGTATATCTTTGAGTTTCCTTATGATCGTTATTTTGAATGATCTTAGGGCATTTTGTATTTTTTCTTTTTGGGGGAGACATTTTATATATTTTCTTTTCTTTGGGGTCTATTACTGGGAAATTATTGTCTTCCTTTGCAGGTGTTATGTTTCCATACTTTTTCACATTTCTTTTGTCCTTACATTGATATATGTGCATCTTATGGAACAGTCACTTTTTTCAATTTTATGGAGTAGTTTTTGTAGGAAAAGACTTTTTTTCTTGTAGATGAGTCTTATTGTGTCAATTGGGTATAGTGCATTGTCTTTGGTTCTGGGTGGATGCAGTAGTGTTGTCTCTGTGCAGTTTCTTCAGCTATAATCTATGTCAGTGGTGTCTGCAAGTGCATCAGTAGGAGTTTGTGGTAGCACTAGCTTGATTTTGCTGGAGGTGAGACTATCTGGCTGGTTGTCAGGTGGGCACACAGAGGCGCTACAGATCAGCTGACTTTGCAGTGGACTTGGAAGGGTGTAGGGCCACTGCTAGGCTGATTGTTGGGGCAGGCTAGGCACACATGAGCACAGAAGTTTATCTGGCTCTGGAGTGTGCTTGCTATGAAGGACTGCTTGTTCCATGGGGAGTAGGGCTCAGTGTGGGCTAGGACACTGTGATCATGGCCATTCCACTGGGCATAATCTCTGAGTAGCCAGCGTTGTGATGCTGTAGCCACCTGTGGAATGAAAGTGTTGCCTTGGGAATGGAGAGAAATCATGGCTATTGACCCACAGTAAAGGACACACTCTAGTAGTGGATACAGTTTCAAGGTGGTGTTGTGCTGTAGCAGCCTGGATCATAGAAGGTGAGGTGCGCACAACATGGGCTTCTACTGTAGAGCAATGCATCTGCATGAACTCTAGGCAGCTCTACAAACTGAGTTTAGGGCCTGTGAGGACTGTAACACTCCTCTGTAATAAGCACTGTAGATGTGTATGGAATAGGAACTGCTTGGGGGCCTCGAACTTACCTTTTCTCTGTAAGGAGAAGTCTTTCCTGCCTCAGAGCCAATCCCAGCAGGGAGAAGGGGTAGCAGAGGCAGCATGTTTCACTTACCTCTTGATGCTTCCATCCAGGGTTTCTGTGATCCTTGGTGCTTTCATTACTTTCTTGTGCTACAATGTACTGTTTGTTTTTTTTTTTTCCGGCATATTATGGGGGTACAGATTTTAAGATTTCAACAAATGCCCATTTCACCCCTCTCCCCACAAGTCTGAGTCTCCAACATGACCATCCCACAGATGGTGCACATCTCACTCATTATATATGTATATACCCTCCCCTCCTCTCACCTGCCCAAACCTATTACTGTAGTACCTATGTGACCACTTAGGCGCTGTTCAGTTATAACCAGTTTGCTGGTGAGTATATGTGGTGCTTTTTTTCCATTCTTGGGAAATTCACTTAATAGTATGGTTCCAGCTCTAACCAGGAAAATATAAGATGTGCTATGTCACCATTGTTTCTTAGAGCTGAATAGTACTCATGGTACATATACCACATTTTCTTAATCCATTCTTGGATTGATGGGCTTGGGCTGTTTCCACAGCCTTGCAGTTATGATTGTGCTGCTATAACATTTGAGTACAGGTGTCTTTTTTGTAGGTGTCATGATCTTTTGGATAGATGCTCAGCAATGGGATTGCTGGATCAAATGGTAGATTGACTTGTATCACTTTAAGGTATCTCCATAGTGCTTTCCACAGAGTTGAACTAGTTTGCAGCCACCAGCAGTGTAGGAGTGTTCTCTCTCTCCGCAACCACGCCAGCATTTATTGTTTGGAGACTTTGATAAAGGCCATTCTCCAAAGTTAAGTGATATCTCATTGTGGTTTTGATTGCATTTCCCTGATGATTAGAGATGTTGAGCATTTTTTCATATGTTTGTTGGCCATTCTTCTGTCTTCTTTAGAAAAGTTTCTGTTCAAGTCCTTTGCCCACTTTTTAATAGGGTTATTTGATTTTGTGGTGCTGATTTTCGAGAGTTCTAAGTATATTCTAGTTATCAGTCCCTTATCGGATGCATAGGATGCAAATTTTCTGCATTCTATAGGTTGTCTGTTTACTTTCATGACTATTTCTTTGGCTGTACAGAAGCTCTGTAGTTTGATCATGTCCCCATTTATTTATTTTTGTTGCTGCTGTGATTGCTTTGGGACTTCTTCATAGACTCTTTGCCAGGCTGATGGTCTAGGAGAGTGTTCCAACATTTTCCTCTAGAATTCTAATAGTTTCATACCTTAGTTTAAGTTGTTACCCAGCATGAGTTGATTTTTGTGAGAAGTGAAAGGTATGGGTCCTGTTTTAGCCTTCTACAGGTGGCTATCCAGTTTTCCCAGCACCATTTATTGAAAAGGGATTCTTTTCCCCAGCGTATGTTTTGTCTGCTTTGTCAAAGATTAGATGGCTATATGAGGATGGTTTATATCAGGATTCTCCATCTGTTCCACTGGTCAATATTCCTATTTTTGTGCCAATACCAGATTGTTTTAATTACTACAGCTTTGTAGTATAGTTTGATATCTGGTATTAATGCCTCCCATTTTGTTTTTGTTGCCTAGAATTGCTTTTGATGTTCGGGGTCTTCTTTGGTTCCATACGAAGCGTAAAATTATTTTTTCTATATCTGTAAAGAATGCTCATGGGATTTTAATAGGTATTGCATTGAATCTGTAAATCAGTTTGTGTAGTATAGACATTTTGATGATGTTGAGTCTGCCATCCACGAGCATGGAATGGATTTCCATCTGTTTACATCCTCTGCTATTTCCTTCTTCAGTGTTTCATAGTTCTCCATGTAGAGGTCTTTTATGTCCTTGGTTAAGTGTATTTCTAGGTACTTTAATTTCTTTGTTGTTATTGTGAAAGGAATTGAGTCTTTGATTTGATTCTCAATTAGATTGTTGTTCGTGTATATGAATGCCTCTGATTTCTGTGTATTGATTTTGTATCCTGAGACTTTACTCAATTCATTAATCAGTTCCAGGAGTTTCTTGGTTGAATCCTTGGGGTTTTCTAGATATAATATCATATCATCATCAAACAGTGAAAGTTTGATCTCTTCTGCCTCTATTTGGATACCTTTAATTCCATTTTCCTGTGTGATTGCTGTAGCCAAGACTTCCAGCACTATATTGAACAGAAGTGGAGATAGTGGCAGCCTGTCTGGTTCCAGTTCTAAGTGGGAATGATTTCAATTTTTCCTCATTCAGTATGATGTTGGCTATGGGTCTGTCATATATGGCTTGTATCATTTTTAGATATGTCCCTTCTATGGCTATTTTCTTAAGTGTTCGTATCATGAAAGGTGTTGAATTGTAAAAGCTTTTTCTGCATCTATTGAGAGAATCATGTGTCTTTTGTTTTTGCTTCTGTTTATGTGGTGAATTGCATTTATAGATTTACATATGTTGAACCATCCCTGCATCCCTGGGATGAACCCCACTTGGTCGTGATGGAATATTTTCTTGATAAGCGTCTGGATTCGGTTAGCTAAGATTTTGTTGAAAATTTCTGCATCTATATTCATTAGGGATATTGGTTTATAGTTTTCTTTTTTTGTTGCATCCTTTCCTGGTTTCGGTATCAGAGTAATATTCGCTTCATAAAGGTGTCCGGAGGTTTCCGTTCTTCTCGATGTTGTGGAATAGTTTCTGCAAATAGGTTCTAGTTCTTCTTTGTAAGTGTGGATAATACGGTGTGAAACCATCTAGACGGTCTTTTCTTTTTAGGGAGATTTTTAATTGCTGTTTCTATTTTAGCTCTTGAGATTGGTCTGTTCAGGGAATCTATTTCTTCCTGGTTGAGCCTAGGGAGGCTGTGTGTTTCTAGAATTTGTCTTTCCTCCACATTTTCCAGTTTGTGTGCGTAAAGATTTTTGTAGTATTCATAAATTATATTTTGTATCTCTTGTGGATCATTGTGATATCTCCTTTTTTTTCCTGATGGAGCTTATTAGAGATTTCTCTTTTCTGCTTTTGTTAGCTTAGCCAATGGTGTGTCAATTTTGTTTATTTTTTCAAAGAACCAACTTTTTGTTTTATTAATCTCCTGAATAGCTTCCCTGTTTTCAATTTCGTTTA